GGGAGAGGGAGGAGAACCAACTCGGGAGTATAAGAAGGGGGAAGAGGAGGTCAGAAGGGGAGGAGAGGTGGCGAGAGAAGAGTCCCGGGGGCCACTAAGGTAGTAGAGGGAACAGGGGATGCTGCGCTGGGCTCACAAAAGGTGTCCGAACCGTGCCCAGAAGGAGACGCTGCCGGCAGACCCAAGACGACGCAGGTGTCCCGGCTGTATAACCCTCGGGCCACGAGGGGAGCCAAGGGGAGAGACCTCGTCAACTGGGGCTCGAGGCCAGCAGAAGTACGAGGCAAGAGATATCCATACAAGAGGGCCAACTGAGACTTTCACGCTTGCAACAGAGGACACAGACTGGAATCCCGTTGAGGGAGGGCTCCTTTATCAGGGAACGTAGAGGGCACAATTATGTGAGATTACCCCTCCCTGAGCTTACATAGTAGCCCTTAAGGAAGGATAGCTGGAGTTTAAGGGGATAGCACTGCGCTAGGCATGCCTGGGCAGAGATATAGGGAAGGTTGTGAAGGGGTGTTGAAGTAAGGTCACCGTAGCTTCTTGGTGGACCTATCACTGGTATTATTATTATTATCATCACAATTCTCACTACCATTATTGTTTTCATTGTTGTTGCTGGTGAGCGTCATAGCCAGAGGGAGTTAGGGCCCCTAAGCTCGCACGAGTCAGGAAAGGGTCTGGGTTTACCGGGCCCTCTTCCTGGGCCTGACTAAAATCAGGAGGGCCCCTGCATCAAATAAGGGTCGGTCATCAGCAACCACAATAGCACTCCGCTGAGGCTGGCATAGGGCGAGGTACAGGGGAGGCTGGAGCCTCGCGAAGAACATCACGCCTTGGACACGGGGAGGCACCCAGGATCAGACAGTCGTACCCCTCCACCACTGAAATATCATCGAAATCGTGGCAAGTGGGATAAGGAGGGGGAAGACTGCCTGAATCAGGAGATCAGTGGCACCTCCCCTAAGGGACGAAGCGAAAGGTTACCACCAAGCCCTTGGGCCGGGCGGCACGGGATCGTATGATCGAGGCCCGGCGGGTGCAGTGTGCTTTGAATATGACACAGCTCCCATTATACTGAGGATGTTTAACCCAGTGAAAAATTAAGTAGGAAATTAATTCTTAAGAACAAAACTTAAATGCTTTAAAATATCTTTAGAAGTGATGCATCACTTTTACACCCAAAGTGTCATCTCATTCAAAACACTGGCAAGAGAAATACAATGAGATACAGTATCCCAGCAGTGCAAATTTCATAAGAAATCTCTCCAGATTATGTGTTCCTATTTTATTTGTAAAATACTTATGGTCTAATTTAACTAAAAATTAGATCTACATTTTTCTTTTCATCAGCATTAGCCATTTACAGTTTCTGGTAAAAGTCATGAATTTTTACAAAATGTCATGTTCCGACTTGAAGAGACTAACCAATACAACAACAGCACTAAAGGCCAAAGGATGGAATCTAGAACTAGATTCCTTATAGTGGTGCGAAATAAAACACCTTGCCTCTCATTTGTTACCATGCCTTAGCTCTTGACATATATTCAAGGCAAATATTCACATATCATAATACAGGGTTTACTATTCCTTTTTATTAAAAAAGAAATATCCAAATATGGGACCCAATTCTTTTCTGCCTTGCACCTTGTGTAGTCACCGACTCCTGTGCAAAGTAAAAAAACACTCACAGTGCTTTATATCTACATTAAGACCACTCTGCACAGGATTAAGTCACTATACACAAAAAAAGACAACAAAGAATTGGTGGAGGGGCCGTTATGGACAAAGAATCTAATTAGAGAACTTACTTCAAAAAGAAAGAGAACAGAGTCCAGCTCCTCCCTTTGTGATTTATTCCCTGGAAAACAAAAAAAAGAATATTGCTAGTTAAAATAATATGGCTTGTTAATCCAGAAATGGAAGAAGCTGTTTCAAGTGAACTTAAAGGTTCCGAGCCCAATTATATTTCTTTGGCTTCCATGCCAGCACAGAAAGTTATAACCCTATACTCCAAAGGCCCTCAGCCAGCAAAATCTTACCATAAATGTTTATTTCTAAACATGTACCTAGTAACACTGAAATGCCATTATGTTAAAAAATTGTTAACAATATGTAAATATTGGGACTATACAAAATATTTCAGTTAAATATATCTACAAATATTTGCAAAATTATGGTGTTTATTCTATAACAAAGTACACACCATATTTACTAGAGGTGTGCAAACTGGGCCCTAATCAATCCGGATTCAGAGTCAGCCCAAATCACGGACAGTGATTCGATTTGTTGATTTGGATCACTCTTCCTGATTTAATTCGGCTGAATCTGAATTTGAAGATTTGATGCCGATTCGGGCATAGACACAGCTTTAAAAGTTTTTTCTACATACCTTGAGGTAGCAGGCATGGCTTGGGAACACTGCGATGCTGGGGTGGATGGAGCGTCCCACAGAAGCGTGGCGGGGGGGGAGGGGGCCTCCACGTGCTCGGCGGCGAACCCGGAAGTGGACTGGAAGTACTTCCAGTCCACTTCCAGGTCTGCCAGGGAGCCCTCTCCCCCCCGCACCCCTTCCAGTTTGGCAATCAGCCGCAGGGGGACCCTGGGTGCCCCTCCCCAGACCCAGGAGGCACCAGTCACTGAGCCTGGGGGGGAGGTGCGGGGGGTCCCCCTTGTGCTCCCTGGCGGAGCCGGAAGTGCTTTTGGTCCACTTCCGCATCCGCTGCCAAGCGTGCTGGGAAGCCACCCATGCTTCTGTGGGATGCTCCATGTGCCCCACCATCGCAGCACTCATGAGCTCCTGCTACCTAGAGATATGCAGAAAAAACATTTAAAGCTCTATGTCCAAATCTCTGAATCTTTCCGAATCAATTCAGAGGGTCCTGATTTGATTCAGAGAGATTAAAGGGTCCTCTGATTCGATTCGGATTCGGAGATTCAGCCACTGAATGGGGCCGAATCTCCGCTGAATCAAATCAGGAACCAAAGCTTTGCACAACCCTAATATTTACTTGAATCCAATATAAGTTCTTCTCTACTCCAAATCAATAAAGCCTAATCTTAGATTTAAATTCCAGTTTGAGGCAACTCATGCAGCAGGGGCAGCAGCTCTTGGTGTGGGGAGGGGGCAATGGAGACTCATGTTGTGTGGCTTAGGGGGTACCCTGCCTCCCTGTAACCTTCCCACACCCCCTCCCTGCCACTTACCTTCAGTTCCAGACTCTCCAGCACTGACCCAGCTGGGCCTGGAGTTGCCACTGCCTGGCCTAGGCCACTGCCACTTACCGTCTCAGAGCTGCAGTCACTGAAGAGAAGCACTACAAGGGTGGGAGGGAGGCTGGCACAGGCATGGCAGTGGGGGAACAAGCCAGGCACTGAGACAGGCATCAGGAAGGCAGGCACAGGCATGCAGGAGACAGTCAGGAGGCAGGGGTCTGCCCCTCCATTGCCTTCCCAGCCACAGGAGTAAAGAGTATACATTTAAGATGATCCCCCAGGAATTAGACTCTATACATAGAAAGTTATAACAAATGTATTATTTTCTATGTACAGAATCTAATTATGGTGGGGGGTCATCTTAAAATTGAAGTAATCTTGGATTTGGGTAAATATGGTACATCTATACAATGCACGATTTTTTACACCAAGACATAACGTGTTACATTTATTGTGAAAATGTTTTCGTTAAGAACTGAAAGGTATTTTAAAATGTAATTAAAAATGGTAATAATGTGTTTAAATCAAACAACTGAAAATTAAAACCATTTTTGTGATCAGATCTGAGTTTTGAGTTCTGCTTTTCTTCTTGTAATAATCAACAGTATCACTCCTAACTGAAAAGAGGTTTGTCCCTGCAAGCACTGAACACCAGAACATACCAATTAACAGGCCTGTATACTAGAAATATTTAAGCACTGGTATAGATCTGCCTATAAAAGTGGCAGGATATACCAATTTTAGGAGTGTTTTTAGGGTTTGTTTTTTTGGAGCTATCTAACAGTCTGGACTAAAACTTCCTATAATTTTCTGTCTTTGTCAGATTTTTAAAATTGGCAAAGCTTGCTAATTTTCACTAAGCTCATTTTTTTATCACAAACACATCTGTTTTCCTCAATGCTAATATATTTTTTCCATAGTAACATGCAAAAAAATGTAAATCTGCAATACCTTCTATCCTGACTAGAAAATATCAACTGATTTTTCTTAACAGTTTTCTTAACAATTTCTTTAAGACAAGCTGATTCAAACCCTCAGGGGAGAGTTTTTTAATTAATTTATAAAAGGTATTAAGAAAACGTCCAAAGGTCATTTTATAAAGTTTACAAAGTAAAGCTTAACTATCTGAAAACTTAAATTTTAAATGCTGTTTATAGTAAAAATACTATAAAACAAACATGTTAACTACTACAGTTTAAGAAGACTATGAATACAAGGAAGTATGGAACCCACACCAATTACATAAAAAAATTCCAGTTATTACCATTAAAATGGCTAAGAAACCCTAAAGGTTCAATAAGAAAAAAAAATACTTTTTGAAGGAAAGCTTACCTTTTTGTTTCAAGCTATTTTCCAGTGTTATGAAATTTTCATAGAAGATAAAATAAATTTGAGAATAGTGGATCTCAAAAAATTGTTTCAGGTCACTCCCATCCAAATTATCTTTAAAAAAAAATTGAAAATATAAGGTCAAGACAAAATAACTTAAATACAGTGCAGGTCTGAAGGCAGTAGTTTCTCTTTTATAAGTTTATGGCAAAGAACCCAGGATGAAGTAAAGTAATAATACAGGACACTAATTCTGGACCACTAATATTTAAAAATGCATATCAAACCTATTTTTCCACTCCTTTCTAAAAAAGAACTAAATAAAAGCTTGAAACACATTTTGCCATACCATTTATAAAATAATTAACTGAGGCACAGAATCTAAATCTTCAAGATGTATCCACAGTAACTGAACAAACAAAGGGCATGGACACATGTACGATTTGAGCCATTTCACAAGGGGAACATTTCAAAAGGCCAGCAGATGTTATGTTCTACTTATTCACATGTGAACAAACCAGGAATGAACCGAATGTGGTAAAACCACTCCAACTTAAAGCAGTTTTGCTAGGTTTACTTATATACCATGTTATACAGATCAATGACAGTGATTCAGTTATAACTGCGTTCCTATTCCTATTTTTTTCTTCAAAACTAGGTGGCCAGGTTTGAAATTTAATCATGGATGAGTTTTGTCCACTAATTAAATTCTCTACCATTTTTTTGATTCATCCTTATTGAAACATTTTACTCCGTAAACCTGGACTCCATAAACCTGGACCAGGGGAATAACTTGAAGACAGACAGTACAATTGGTACTTTAAAAAAAAAAAAAAAAATCAGATTTGAACATACAGTCTTTGGCAGCAAGTTCAAAATGATGAAGGAAATCCTATTAATTTAGTAAACTGGCATGAATTCCATAAGCGCAGAGCACCCAGAATTACTCATGTCAAAGTATTCACACCACCCCCAAGTCATAGGACCTAAATAATTTATATATGTTTAAGGCAGCTTTAGTCAAGCACTTCTTTGCTTGTTTATCCACCTGTTAAATACGGAGAATATGTCCTTTCTTCAAAGAAAGTAATGGTTGTTCAACTTTTTTCTTTATATCATGTATTATAAAAATAAATATTATTGAGTGCTCCAGTTTGAAGAGACAGGGAGGAAGCATTCTTTTATGCACTCTGCCACCTTCTAAAAATGCCCATTTCATTGCACAGTACTAGTCTCTTGAAGTCACTGAGACCTACATTTCCATCACTAAAGAAAAGCTCCTTCTGATTGGTTTATATAACACATGCTGATTGACAGATAAAGATAGTCATTACACTCAACTTGGTACTTTCTGCTAATTAGAAGGATGTACTGATTCATTTAAGCTTGCCAAGAACTTTTTTCCCCCCAACTACTCAGTTGGTCTAATATAATATATCACATCTACTCAAAAAACCTTGCCTACTGATTCACAGACATTCATTTAAACAGTTGTATACATCAATGAACAGGTATTTAACACAAGAAAAACTAAGAATTAGAAAATGGTAAGCACCACATTCCTTATTTACCAGTTGATAGGTTTTATCTGTAATTTGTGCCAATTTACTTGGCTTTAGGATGAAAACTAGAATTCGATTAGACTCAGAAACACAGCATTTTAGAATTATTTATTAATTACATTAAAATGATCTGAGAACATGCTGGAAACACAAGGCTAAATGTTTAACAAAGTATAAATTAAAGAAAGTATTAACTGCAGTTAGTTAGTTAATTGATTGTTTTGGTCACCAGTGTCCACACATTCAAAATGTTGTAGGTGCTTGGGATTCTTCAAGAGTGCCTCTGCAAATCAGGTATATATATGGAACAGAACTTGCTTAAGCACTTTTGATAATCCCTGTATACACCTTCAGGCAGAGAGCTGCTTTAGAAAATCTGGTTATACATACCTCAAATGTTTAGTTTTACTAGATCTTGGTTTCTCCCCAGCTGGATTTTTAATCTCAGATTAGACTAAAATGTTGTTTCTGTTTTGGCTTTCTTTTTTAATTTTTAAAAGGAACCATGCTTCAGGTAGTTGAAGGCTGCTATCAAATCCCCTCTCAGTCTTCTCTTCTACAAACTAATTAGTCCACTTCCCTCTGCTTCTCCTCAGAAGTCATGTGTGCCAGCCCCCTCACCATTTCTGTCACACTCCATTGGACTCTCTGCAATTTGTCCACAACTCTTCTGTAGTGGGAGGCTCAAAACTGGGCACAGTACTCCGGATGTGACCTCACAAGTGCCAAACTGAGTGAAGCAATGATTCCCCTCTGTCTGCTGGCAATGTTTCTACTAATGCAACCAAGCATTCCATTACCTTTCTTTGCAACAAGGGTACACTGTTGGCTCATAATCAGCTTACAGTCTACTGCAGGGGTAGGCAACGTTTTTTGGCCAGAGTGCCGAAAAACACCATAATACCTACCTCAAAAGGTGCTGGAGTGCCAGCATGGTAGAAAAACAAAATGAGAGCAAGAGGTACATGGCAGGATGCCCTCCTTGTGCCCCTTGCCCCCCACCCAAAGCCTCTGCCCCCCAGCCCTACTGCCCCTTGCCCCAGCCCTGCTGCTCCTTGCCCCCCACGCA